TACTACCATTTATTTGAGGGAGTTTGTTTTGGCCGTCGTCGTCGCGTTGCCGTCCTAAAATCGTAAGGCCTCTAATAACCCCTCTGTGCGATCGTTAAATCACTTGCCGTTAGATGCCTCTATATATACACCCTTTAGTTACTGCTTCACCCTTTCAGAGAGATTACGACATGCAGTCTTGGTTCATTTATTTGTTTGAGAATAAGTTTCACTTAATATATACGCTTACTAGCCTACATGTTTCGTCGGTTTTAATATAGCCTAATAGCTCAAAGCAACAAGAAAGAAATTCGTTTTTTACATCAAAACGTTTTTGTATACCCAACCATGCATGTATTAAAGTTGATTGTTTATAGATTCTAATTTCGTACCTTGTCTCTCTATGCACATGAGAGCAATATAAATGTATTGTAGTACACTCATAGGCGTACGGGATTCATATATCTATTGGAGGAGCTTGTGGTCTATATTGCCCGAAAATATTTGGGCCCATTTCTTGACTTTTTTGGGGGGGATTTTTCCCCCCCCCCCCCCCGAATTCAACGAGTTAAGATTATAATGATTTTACGATATAAATATACTGTTAAGAAAGCGAAGAAAAACTTGAAATTACGCGTTGACCGACTTCAAGCCATGACGGGGATTATATATGAACCGCTTTTCATGCGAAAAACATTACTCTCTAATAAATTGTTGCTGCCGAAGGCAGCCACCTATTCTTGACGATAGATGTGTACATTCGGAGGAAATCGGTGCATATAGTTTTAGTTACCAAGATCAGTATGTTTACAGTGCTTTCATACACTGATAAATAATAAAAAGATAATACCGGCGGATAAAATTAGCAACGCGTGCATGTCAATTTCAGTTGGCACATGCGTCAAGACTTTTGCTCTATGTTATAAAGCTAGCATAAATGCTGGCATATTTATAACTTAGTCTCTATCCAAAAAACACCCATATTTGAAAGATAGTGAACAATTTTGTATGTTTTTAACACAAAAAATTTAAGTAAATGCATTAACAAATTATAGCTTATAATTAGTTGAATTAGCGAAAATTGACAATATTCATGACGTGCTTGTCAGGCGAAAAACACACTGCCCAAAGATTTTATTATTTATTCTAGTAGATGTGTCATAATACTCAGTAGCTGCAATAGATTGGATACCTGATACCGTTGCACTTTTGAGAAAAAATAATTTACCGCCAGCATACTAACACGAATATTTAATCCGCTGTCTGAAAGACGTTTTTAAAAATACACAATATTTTGTTTGCTTCAAGTGATCAGGATAATTTTTAGTTTAGGTTTATGCCTAGGCAGGAAATAATAAAATATGTAAGTTTCAAGAAGTTAGAATAAAAGCGCGAGATGAACTGTGAGATATAAAAAGCTCAAATATCACTTGCGTAATTAACGTTTTAACTTGTTTTCGAACGCGTCCGAAAATAATTGCGAAAATTTTTTTAAAACTGACTACAATTTCAAAGTCAACGTTTTTTGTTCATTTTATGAATGACTTCTTCCACACAGAAAGTTTGAAGGAAATCTGTAATCTTAAGAAATTCGAGTGGTCGGTTTTTACACGGACTGCCTCTTAAATAGCCAATATTATGTCATACCTTTCGAGAAATTACTAATACACCAGAACAGCAAGAAATGTGATCACATATTGGTTTTTATTTTCCATCTGGAGATACTCTTAGCAACACATTGATAGTTAAGTTGCTGTCATGTGGCCATTGATGAAGATCAACATAACCAAGTGCTTCTCTGCCATGATTTAGAACTCCAGTCAGGTGAATTTTTAACTTCCATGCACCAGAATATGCTTTCATCACATGTGGGAGTTTTGGAATCATCAGTTTCATTTGGTCCATCCCGTCAACTATAACACACATACTTATCCAGGTTCTCTTTTGTTTTACTTCTGTGACTATAATACTTTTCACGCTCCCCTCTAAAATATTTGATAAGATAAATACATTTTGAATTATTATTATAGTAGTTGTTTATGAAGCAGTTTATTATTTTGGTTTATTAGTTTATCATGGGTATAACAGGGGTGTGGCTAAACAAGGAGGGGTTTGGGTGCATGCTCCCTAGAGTGTTTTGCACATCCCAAACCTCAGAAGACCATTTCCAGACTTCCTGAGAGAAATTTTTATTAAAATTTGTGAAGTTCTTGTACTTCACAAATTGAAAATTTTATAATATGAAACATTTCACATACATGGTACCTGCATACCTGGATCTATACCAGTAACTAGGTTGAGTTAGTTAGGTATTGGTGTTAGGTTCAGCCGTTTTTCCAGGTTAAAAATGATTGAGTGATTTTTATCATGATTGAAACAATACAATTTTTAATGATATGAATCCAAATGATCCTAGATTAGTAATGGTGTCTGTCATTAGACAGAGTAAATATAGGGTGAAGTGGAAAGCATTGTTGAAATTGCAATATTGGATACTAATATAGTATTAGGATGTTAGGGTTTGTAATCCAAGTGAGAATATATACATTTTAAGACCCAACCAGGAACAACTGCGAAAAATGCAGCACAAGGTCCTCTGGTAGGAATTGAACCTACGGCCCTGCGATTCCGGTGCAGCGCTCTAACCAACTGAGCTACAGAGGCCAGCTGTTGAGCTGTAACCGTAAGTTCATGTATATATAGGTAATCGGGTGTGCAGATTGTGATAAGGTGGACTTGAATAACTTTGATTCTTCACTTGGTTGAATTAATATTAGGATGTTAGGTTTGTAATCCAAGTGAGAATATATACATTTTAAGACCTAACCAGGAACGACTGCAAAAAATGCAGCACAAGGTCCTCTGGTAGGAATTGAACCTACGGCCCTGCGATTCCGCTGCAGCGCTCTAACCAACTGAGCTACAGAGGCCAGCTGTTGAGCTGTAATTTTGACGGTTTTAAAACGTCGAAAAAGACAGCCAATGAGATTGGAAATTTGTCATTTGAAACGCCATCAAAAACGTTGAGCGCGAGTCCAGCATCGTCCCATTCAGAAATTGAAAAAAATTGCAAAAACATTTCTTATTTTTCTCGCATTACAAATTTGTTTTGTACATTAAAATATTGTTAGTATACCGGGTGTCCCAAAAAAAAGTACTCCGGTTTGATTTATAATAACTTCTAAACAAGTAAAGCTATCAAATAGAAATAGGAAGGACTAACTTAGATTTTGATATATTACAAGTTGTATTTTACTTAAAAATTTACAGAGATATTAATGTTCAAAATCGGGAGCATATTTTGGGATGTGTCCAAAATTAGCGAAAATCGGCATATCAAATATTAACTCCAGCGTTTGTTTGGTTAATGACATATCAGGCTAACTTGTATTTCAGCAAATTGTCGTTAGGGTGTGTAAGGGATATTGTGTAGATTTAGACATCTTACATGTAAGTCTTAGCTCATTGTTTCCTGAAATATGAACGTTCAAAATTACAAGTATTTAATAAGTCATTACAAACTTAAAGGTACATGAAAGACCATGCAAGGCAGGCGCTTAAATTTTTCTTAAATAGGCTAATTTTTTTATGTTTTTCATGAGTTAAAAACAAGAGTTGATTATTTCTCGGTTAGAGCAGGATGAATATTATTCTTTAATGATGGAAATAATATTGCTTCTCAATGCTACTATTTTGTTATGGTTTGTTCCAAAAATGTTGGATGTCTCTGGGGAGTTGCTTGTTATGTCTTATGGAGTTGTATGGTTTGATTGTGTTTCATTCTCAGTTTATTCTGAACTTAACAAGATTAAGAAAAGGCAAAAGAGTTTGAGTGTTCTTAACAAGATTTCAGAATGTTGCACAAGTTAGAAGAGCTTCACAATTCCATTGTGACAGCATACCCTAATTCAGAACTATGAACGATCCATGACGATCCTTCGCGATGCAGTGGTCTCATGAAATAAGGAAACATATTTGTGCTAGGAACACACACGGATTTCGGACGAATAAATCTTGCTTGTATTTTGTAGATAATAATACTTTGTTTCATAATAAACAATTTAGAATAGAATAGAATAGAAACTTTATTTCACAAGGGAAAACGTATTAACCGTAAAAGTTATCTAACATACGGCCCTCGCACTATTTTGATATTTACAGGCATAAAAAGTATTAAGGATTACGACTATTTACATTTGAGAAAAAAATAATTAGTAATGAATACAATTACAATTTAGTAAATATTTACAATTTATACAAAATAGATCTTCGATATGGTTAGTAAGGGTAAGCTTGTTAAGAAAGATTTTACAAATTTTTTGTTTGGCGTTAGTATATGAAGAGCAAGATGGCGAAGCAGCAAGTTGCTTACAATCGCTATCTAAGCAATTAAAAAGAATGGAAGCACTGTACAGAAATGTTCGTTTACCAGAGTCAGTACGCGGGAAGGGGGCTGAAGGTCATATGCGCAAGCTCTAGTCAGAGCCCGTTGTCGAATAGAAGATAAGAATTTAAACATTTGCTTAAATGAAGATGGAGCACTGGGATTTGTGAGAATGTTAATTAGTAAGAGAAGCTTCCTAAATTTAACAAGATCAAAAATTGGGATTATTCGAATCTGGGAAAAAAGAAGAACAGAAGGAGTAGAAAAGTCAGCGTCTAGAATAATACGTGCTGCACGCTTTTGCAGTCGAAGAATGCGAAGCAAAAGTGTTTTTGAGCAGTTCCCCCAAGTTACAGAGCAGTAGATAAGACTTGAATTAATACAGGAGTTATAGAAACGAAGAGCACAGTCCTTAGTTAAAAAGGGTTTAATCCTGCGTAATAAAGCAAGTCTACTATTGATTGTTGAACACAAGTTGTCAATATGCTTGGTCCAAATTAAAAACTCGTCAAGCGTTAAACCCAACACTTTTGCTTGCTATTTGTCAGGTGTCATTTATTTACTGGTAATAGCGCATGTTTCAGTCGGGCAAATCTTGATTAATATTTGATGCGCCGTTTTTTGTACTATTTAAAGCACGCGTAGGAGTGTTTTATCACATATAAAACACGACGCATAGCAGAGTGTTTTATATGTGATAAAACACTCCTACGCGTGCTTTAAATGGCTTAAAAAACGACTCATCTTATACGAGTTCATTGGCTAATAAACTTTGTCTAAACCGAGAAAATCAAAGCTAAAGTTTATGTAAATTACATGATTTTTTATCAAATATAAAACCACGACACGCTTACGATTTTTCTTTGTGTTTTGCTCCTGAATTATTAAAGTGTTTATGAAATGGCTGAAAATTTTTTTCACAATTGTGCTCATTTTATAGTTTAAACTATGCTGAATATCATCCACTAGTTTATTTTTGCCCCGCGATTTTTTAAAGTCGATTTTTAAAGTCACGAAAGTCAGTAATTTAACTATTTTATTGTCCCGGGGTCTGGACCCGAGTAAACACAGCGCGTGACGTCACTGGTTGTACACACAAGCTTTATATTTTCTTACAAACAGTGAAAGAGGCTGGTTGTATTGTCGGATTTTAACTTTTTTATCGGGATTTCTACTTTTTGTTATGTCGCAGAGCGACGATTCATTATGTTACTCTAGTTTAGAGTCTAATAGCTTAACTGAGAGCGATTTAGAAGAAAATTTAAACGTAAAGAGCTGTTTTGAACCCTACCAAGGAGAACCATTGGCGAGCACAGACGATAGTGAATCTTCTGATGAAGAACATGACGAAGATTCCATTCTACCCTCGATTTTGGAGAAGCGTTTCGAAAAGGTTATTCCTTTAGCTGATTGGTAAGTTCTAAAATTATTACAAATCCACCCTATTATGATTTTAGTGCTGATTTTACCTGACCTTTGTCGTATTATTTAATACTTGTAGGTGCTCGTGTGGCAACTGTGCTGATCAAGAGCTGGTCGGTGCTCGTGAGTTTCGTTGCTGTAAAGAGATCGTAGAAGCAAGTGGAAAATTTACTTGGATTGGCAAGGATGTTGAGTGCATCCTTGCTCATCCAGACTTTAACGCCATGACAAACGAGACGGTTCTACGCGAAGTTGGACCTCTTTTAAGGAACAAGAATGGCAGCTGCTACCGAATAAAAAATGGCGCAGATAAAAAGTATGTAAATCTACTTACAGTAGTTCAAAACATTTTTGTCCAGTACCAATAGTAAAGCAAGTATCGTTTCTGCTTTTTTCTAAAGATTACTGTGTATTTGTTATAGATTCCTGAGAGCTGTATCATATCGCTGGCTGGCAAGATGGTTATTTGGAATGATGGGTTGGGACAACACAAGACCCTTGTCAGCATGCATCTACCATCATATTAGGACTACATTCCCTACAGGTGATGCTAAGGGTTATATATCTGGAGAGGAACGAGCAGAGAAAGACAGCTGAAGTGACTATGACATTTTTTTATAGCTTCAATAAATAGAATATTAATAATTTACTTTATGTGCCAAACCATACATATTTTTTTCAAATATAAATAAATTCTATATATGTTCGCTTCTTTCCTGAGTAAAATATATGATCAAGAGACAAGTTACCCATAATTAAACAGTTTTGCTGCACACTACCATAACTTAGCTGCTTCATACAGTTTTAAATTTTAGCCAGGTATACCTATCTAGGGTTGAACCTGGGTTATTAGGCCAGGGTCAAGCGTCGAGCTTTTCATGTGCCGAACCTAATGTTAATGAGCTAAGTTCTTTGTTTCACTTCATTTGCATTAGGTTCGGTACATAGTTCGACATTTGACCGTGGCCTTAGATTGAGCACGTTTCCAGAGTAGTGTGCCAACTATACCGGTAAACCCAGGTTATGCATGTTTACAGATTATAAACTAACCCCAGCTAATTAAAGTAAACCAGGTTGATTCGGATGATGGGAAATACAATAAGACATTCAACATTTCAAGCAAAGGCTCTTCGCCTGGAAGTTATAAGGGTGGGTCGGAAAAACAGGTAGTTTTACACAAATCAACAGCCAAAAAAACACAGTGGCAACTGTGAAGCTGTTAAACCTGGTGGTTTTGTACAGTAAATCATGCTTTATATTCCATTCAAATTCACAGCTATGGGGAGCATGGCATAATTCTGTTCATATTCTATTGGGTTATTCTAGAAACATCCACACCTCATCACTTCCACACAGAAAATTTGGAGTTACACTACCCCCTTTGGATGCCTTGATGCATTTTAGAATTTATCAGATTTCCCACCTTAGCCCCCTGGACAGCAGAAATTTAATTTCCCTTGCAGAAGGGGTGTGGATAATTTCTGGAATACGCATTCAGACTATTGAGCTTGACATTTTTACAACATAATGACATCAAGGGCAATGTGACCGGGGATGGCCTTTCATAGGTGCTTTGCATTTTGAGCATTGTCTTGCTTTCCTTTTTGGTGGTGGTAGATCTGCCGTCGACTTTCGTTTTTCTGCCTCAATCAATGATGTTTGTTCTGAAGCTAAAAATGATCAAATGTGAGGAGATTATAACAGGAGAAACTCAGTTATTGATTGCATTTATTATGTGATAATTTTGTGGTGTTGGTAGTAATGGTTTCTCATTACCTGATGGAAAGAGTTCTGCAGTTTTCGCTTTTCGCTCCCTGTAGCATTTTATTGCTTCACTTTTGGGGGTCTTTTCTAAAAACTGGCTTGTCAAGGGTTCAGGAACTTTATCCTTGTATGTGTCCTTGATTTTCTTCCGTTCTTCTTTGGTCATAGAAAACAGTTTTTCTTTGATACTGCAAACATAACCTAAATGACAAAACATGAGATAACTTAAGCCAAAAAATGAAAATAATGTGAAATACAGATTTCCCCTTGTTTTATATCCTTGGACCTTTGATTTTCCCAGCATGTCTGAAACTTACCTTAGTGCTAAATAATAGAAATTACATTAGTATTATGGGTCCCAAAATTACATACCATAAGTTGCAGCAACAGCGATTTCTCGAACAACATCACCACCATTTTTGTATTTGGGGTATGTAACATTTACATATGTGCTGCCATCCTTTGCCGATTTTTTGGTCTCCTAACATTTTCATTGAAATGCAAGATAGCCAGGATATGTCTGTAATTAAATTAAAGGGAAAGTTAAAGGGTTAGTTAAATTATTCTCGGAGCAGATTTTGTTGTTATTTTCTCAGATCGAACAAGATGCACACCTTTATTGGTGATGTTGCATTTCCTTGATGAGAGACTGCTGGTTATTATCATTATGTACTTTATACCTGCAATAGGTGCCAAGCCAGGAGAAACATCTCATTTTGGGATGCCACTGATTTAAAGTGGAATGAAATCCCTCCAAACAACTAGTCTCTGCATCAGGACACAGCCGCTTGATGTCATTTAGCAGGCTTGTCTTCAAGACAATCTTTTCAAGCCTCTCGTATGCAGGTGTGCCTACATAAATACAAATAGAGTTGTAATTGCTCAACTCCCTTCTCTTTCAGAGACATGCCCCTTCCTCTTTCAATCCCATCTCCAAAGAAGGGGGTTTCATGGAAAAATTAAAATATTATTGATCTATATTTGACATACCAACTTTTATCCATTTTCTGCGCTTCTCGAGCTCCTTGTGTGCACACTCTGGAAACAGCGGGTCAGGGTGGTCTGTATGCTTTTTGGCAACATGCCGAATAAATGATTTCCATTGGCAAGAATCAATTTCTGAAACCCTTCTTTCGTTGTTGTTGAGCACCAGTAAATGTGGTGTTTTACAGCTGTTATCCATTTAGCAATTATCTTGCAGCCTTTCTTTTTGCTTGCTGCTAACATTTTCTTCACCACACTTTTAGCAATATGCCACTGGTCAAAATAGTGTGTGATGGTAGGGTGGTTCTCTCTTATCCACTTGGCAATGCCCCGATGCCGATCGGAAACAAACACCGGAATTTCCAGATCAGATCGTTTTAAATAATTAAAGCATAACTTTGCAGCCTGCAGCTCCATAGCAGTACTACTGCCAGCCTGGTTTGCCTAAAATATTAAATTCAGAATAACAAAAAATAGGAATTCTACAAAATATAAAATATTATTAAAATCCGAGCCTCAAAATGTTGCCAAAAAACCTTGCATACTCCTAATGTTGGAGGCTTTAACTTACTGGTGAATTAAAAGGATCTATAAAGGCAGATTTCAACATTCTATTCGTCCAAGGTAAAACATAGTTATTCCAGGAACTTCAACACTTTTATTGATCAATGTATATACATACAAATCACTGTCAACCTTAGTATTCATAGTGTTCAGGCTCCAGAAACCACTTGTTGAAACCTTACTGGGTTGAAATCAGTTTTTGATGGATTACAGTATATTAAAAACCATACTGTACCTGTAATAACTCAAAATGCACTATTTTGTTTGATGGTGAACACATCATAGAGTAAACTCCATACTTGGCAGAATGCCCCATGGAATCAAATCTTCCACCTCCAGACCACACCAGGTTTTTTCTGGCTCTAAGGGTTGATATCAATGTCAACTGATATGATTCCCAGTGGTGAAGTATGGCAGGAAAGTACAGACCTTATATCATACATAATAAATACAGACCTTATATCACATTTTGATGGTTCATTCATTTGTTCATCTTCAGAAGCAGTGACATAATCCTCTTCGTTCATTTCTTCCATCGCTACCCAATCTTCATCTCTCTCATACACACCAACTTTCTCGTCTTCATCGTCACTGATAATTTCATCACTATCAGTCTCAACCTCTTCTTGAATCGCTGTTTGTTGGCAATCCTCTGATGAATTTGAATTTTTATTTTCAGATTTCTAGAAATTGAGAAAAACTTTATCATTACACAATATGATCTATTTCATTACAGAACATCGTTTACATTACACAATATGATCTATTTCATTACAGAACATCCAACAAATAAACATTGGAAATTTCAGTAGTTGAACATACATTTTTTCACAGCACATTATTTAACCCATTAACTGGACCGACAAGTGAAATTGTCTGGGGTTGGACAGCGTAAGATACTAGAATAGGGTACATCTGGGTGCATTGCCAGCTAATGGGTTAATTAGCCAAATTAGTTTTACCATTATCCAAAGCATTATATTATCACATAGAGTACCTGAGCGTTGCGCATTTGTTGCAATTGACGGGCTTCTTTACGCAATTTTCTGTGCCTGTATTTCAGCTTTCGATACGTTTCATGAAGACGAGCAAACTTTGTTTTGTGATTAGCACAATTCTGACATTCTGACATAGCTGTAGAAGTTGCAGTAACAGTTGGTAGCTCTGTGTCTGGTTGTGGATAAGACTGATCATTTTCTACCTCTTGTGCAAGAAGTACCCCCGAGTCGATACCATCATTCGTTGTGACAGAGCTTTCAGGTTTCAAGTCAATGCTTCGAACAATCTAAAGATTGGAACAAAAAATGTTTACAGTATATACAACAAGGTAGCCCAATACATACGTACAGTCTGCAGAAGCACCAGGAAATCTTGATTAAAATTTAACATCAAAACATCTATTTTATAAATTATGTATATATTTCTTGATTACTCTGATACTTAACATATTGCAGATTATTAATCTACAGTATGTGTAACCCATTCCTACAGTTAACCGATCTTGCGTACTCATATTGACATACAAAATATCACATCTGCATGACTATATTATAAACGTTTATACATCAAATCCATGCTTTCTTATCGATAGTTAATATTAGTTATAAGTTATATTTTTCTTATATTTTGCCTTCGGTAGCGAATTAACTAGCAACAAAAATTACTATTTTAAACTTATATACACACATAGTGTA